ATACCGGTGCGAATGGCCCGGTTGTGCGAAACGGTTCACTACTAAGCAGAATAAGAATAGGCATATGGACATACATGCGACTATAAATAAGTACCGGTGCTCGAGGCCGGGCTGTGGGCAGGAGTTTCGTGACATAACTGATTTTAAACACCATTTAGAGTTACACAGACACCCGGGTAATTACCGGTGCCTTTGGCCGGGCTGTTACCGGCAGTTGAGTTGTAATACGGCTCTAAAGACACATATGTGTGAACACACGGGTAGTCGTAGGTATCGGTGCCATTGGCCCGGATGTGAGTATAATACTCAACACAAAGTGAGTCTCAATAATCACATCAATAAAAGTCATAAGGAGTGATGACTGTGAGCCTACAGGTGCTCTCATAAGGGAACTGACAATAATTGTATCTATAAATTATATAAACAATAAACAATTATTTATAAATGATTTTAAATGTAATTAAATTTAAAGGGCGATTAAAATCGTATTCATTTGTATGATATAATGCTATGATATGATATAATTCGTAAACAAAATGCTTTGAAAAGTGAGAGTATTTTGTGTGAAAAATATTTGTTTGCATTTAATTTGATTGCAATTTAAAGACAAATGAATGCAATCTTATATCTATTGATTGAAATGAAATGCAATTATTAAATGCAATGAAAATGAGAGAAACTTTTGTAAATTTATACATAATGTGAGTGAAAATAACTTTTCAATAGCTTCCGAGACTACCGGTGCTACAGACTAGGCTAACCGGGCTATAAAAGTGTTTTAAATAAATTTATTCAATTTTCTTATGAAATAATGTGAAATTATTAACCTTGTTTATTGCACGGTTAATTCAATAGTTATGTACTTGGATTCGTTAATTAAAAATAAATTTATATTTAAAAAGTTTTTGAACTTTTAGTTGTAAAGTACGAGTGTTTTGAGTGAACATTATTTGTGTGAATAGAAAGTGTAAACAAAAACTAAAGTGTATTTCAAATGAATTGTTGTTTTGATTGTATTTTTGGGTTTAATTTGATTGCAATTAACAGCGAATTAAAGGCATAAATGTGTGACAAATGAGTGAATCGTATGAATCGTTGTCTCATTTAAGTCGCGAAGAGTTGTATTCATTAGTGAATGCATTGAAAATTATTGAATACAAAACAAATAGACTTTGAATTAATCCAAGAATTAGTGGATTTGATTGCATTGAATGCCACCGAAAGTCGTGTCAATTGTGAGCAGAAAACGGGTTTTGTTTTCATCACTCAATCCAACGGTAAATGAAATCCAATTTAAAAACAATTTTACAAATAATTAATTGATTTTTGTTTTCAATTCATCACTAGTTTTGCTATCAATTGGTTGTCAGAGAAGTGATGACCAGAAGAATGAAGAGTCGATTGGAGACCAAGAAGTGGTCATTGAATCGGAAGACAATCACAACAACGGTTCCAGTGATGAGGAAATGTGCGACAAATCACAAGATAATGAAGTCGTCAACCGATGGGAACTAATCACTGATTTGGTGGTTAAGTGCGAGACAACTGATGAGACAAACGGTGGACAACTGGGTGTCTATGAGTGCGAAGAAGGCATCCCTCAAGACATTCACTCAACTGATGGACTGTTTGTGTGTTCACTAAATGGCTGTAAAACCAGTTTTGAATTAAAACCAAACCTAACCCGACATCAACTGGTAGTACATCCCGAAGCCTTTCCGGACATACCGTGGATGGTGTGCTCGCATACGGACTGTCAGTATAGGACTAAACACGTGAATGCAATGACTCAACACTCGCGTAGGCATACGAAGCCATTTGAGTGCACCCGATGTGGACAGACATTCTCGAGGAATATCTATCTTAGCCTTCACTCTAAGAAACACTGCAAACAGTCTGTAAGAGTCGGCACCCGAGGGTCCGGTTGTGGCAACACTTCTGTCACTAAAAGACGTCTCAAACCACAAACCAATGGACAGACAGTTGTGTCACAAGACGTGAACACAAATGAAAAGTCTATTAATAGTAATGAATTGAAAAGCGATTCAAATGACAGTCAAAGTGATAGCCGTTTGCAGACATCAGAGGGACTCCATGTTTGCGATTATGTCGGTTGCGGTAAAGGTTTTGCAAAACTAATGTCGTTATCACTTCACAAGCGATCGCACGACAAGACAATCACTAAGACATCGCACGGCCGCTATGTTTGCGATTATATCGGTTGCGGTAAGAGTTTTGCCTCAAAGGACTATTGGTATAAACATAGACGCATACACTCGATACACTCGGGACTGACCTACCGGTGCGATGTGGACGGTTGTACGGCTTTCATACTTAGCGCTCTGTTAGAGATATTTGTATTTCGCCAATTTGTAAGGAGATTTATGGCCACGTTAACCCTCCCTACACTGATATTTTGCTCACCTTTTAGATAAAATCTATTTGTGTTTAACTTAGTACATTTAGGGGAACGTCGGTTCACGTGTCCGGTCGAGGAATGCCTGCAAACGTATAAAACGAAGTATGAGATGATTCACCACCAGTTGAGACAACATCCCGACTCTGAGATAAACACAAATTGAATGTACATTTAGGGGAACGTCGGTTCACGTGTCCGGTCGAGGAATGCCTGCAAACGTATAAAACGAAGTATGAGATGATTCACCACCAGTTGAGACAACATCCCGACTCTGTGCCGGACGTGCCGTGGATTCAGTGCACACACACTGACTGCCAGTTTAGGACCAAATCAAAAGATTATTTCAATGCACACGTGAGACACCACTCCAAACACTACCGGTGCGATCAGTGCCGCAAATGGTTCACACATTTATGTCAACTCAAACTCCATGAGCCCACGCATAATAAAGCGTTAAAGCAATACCGGTGCGAATGGCCCGGTTGTAAGGGTGCAAAGTGCACTACTAGGGCCGGTATTAATAAGCATATGGAAACACATACGAGTAAACGGTTTGGTCCACGGCTTGTGGACAGGCATTGACTATAATACTCAACACAAATAGAGTCTCAATAATCATATGAATAGAAGTCATAGGGAGTGATAACTGTGAGCCTACAAGTGCTCTCATAAGGGAACTGGCAATAATTGTATTTATAAACTATATAAACAATTAATAATGATTTTAAATGCAATTAAAATGTGTATTGAATTTAAAGGGCGATTAAAATCGTATTGATTTTGTGTTGACGTTATTTGTATGGATATAACAGTAAAGTGTAAACAAAATGCTTTGAAAAGTGAGAGTATTTTGTGTGAAAAATATTTGTTTGCATTTAATTTGATTGCAATTAACAGCGAATTAAAGGCATAAATGTGTGACAAATGAGTGAATCGTATGAATCGTTGTCTCATTTAAGTCGTGAAGAGTTGTATTCAATGGTAAACGCATTGAAACGTGAAAATAATTGCTTGAAAACAGATTTATTGAGATATGAATTGATTTCAAAGAAATGCCGAAAATATTTAACAGATTTACTGAATGTTAGAGAAATTGATAGACAATCGACTCAACAGTTACTGCATTATATTGACTCAAATTTTAGATATAAGTCAAACGCTACTAAAAAACATTTGACACAAGTTTTGCCACAAATTGGTTGCCATCGAAGAAGTGGTGATCAGACGAGACAACAGTCCAGTGATTGCGACGATAATAGCAGTAGAGTTGGACACCAATTGAATGCCAAAAAAGTGGTAATTAAATCGGAAGTCAGTAATGAATGTCATATTAATAGCGATACAAATGACGAGACAATCGGTGGAAGTGTTGACGAAAGTGAAGACACGACTGAATGCGAGAACTCTTTAGGAAGTGATAAGACTTGCGATGAAAGCGATGGTAAGACACGTGCAGTAAGTGATGGCACGAGTGGACAGTTTGTGTGCCATTGGAGTGGATGTGGGAAACGGTTCACAAGTATAGCAGACATGTGTCGACACAAACCCTTTGACACACCACCAGACACTGATGGCCACTACCGGTGCGATCACCCGAACTGTTCCCTGAGTTTCGGACACATCTATGCCTACAATCAGCACAAAAAGTGCGGTTTTCACGTGACCTCCGATGGCCAGTATGTGTGCGCTTACGAGGGCTGCGGCAAGAGTTACGCCGATAGGATCGGCCACTACAGGCACCGACACGTCCACTCCGACACCACCACCACATACCGGTGCGATTGGGAGGGCTGCGCGAAAGCATTCTCGTCGCGCATACGTCTGAGAGAACACAAATGTAAGCAACACGGCTCGAGATACCGGTGCGATCGCGAGGGCTGTGCGTTCACAACGGGCGACAAATACCGGTTAACTACACACATGTCGTCCCACTCGACGGACAGGCAGTTCGAGTGTGCGCTCAATGCATGCAAACAACGGTTTAAGACACAGAAGTGTTTGAGTGGTCATCAGTTAGCGCTACATCCCGACGCCTTTCCCGACATACCGTGGATTGAATGCCCGGAAACTGACTGTCAGTATAGGACTAAATTAAAGGGCAGTCTCAGCGCTCATTTGAACGGCCACTCGCGGCCATACCGGTGCTCGCAGTGTGGGAAAGCCTTCCCGAGCGGTAGTCACCTTCGCGATCACCAGCGCACACATAACGAGTCCTTACAATACCGGTGCGAATGGCCGGGCTGTGAGAAACGGTTTGTGCAAAAAACATCGCTTATCGGTCATATGAATGCCCATTTGGGCGCCAATACGTACCGGTGCTCGTGGCCCGGCTGTGAGAAGTCCTATACGAATGATAAGTCGTTGAGATCTCACGTACAGACGCATAAGGGTGTGAAGAACTACCGGTGCCAGTGGCCGGGCTGTGGGTACGCCACTGATCGTAGCAGATATCTGGGCAACCATATGGACAAACATAAGTGACTGGACTACAGGTACTCTCATTTTGTATGAGTTGTGAATTGATGTAAATTTATATGTAATTACTGTGTATTTAATGATTTGTGAATAAATTATTTAAAATTTAATTTAATTATTATAATTATTTTTTGTTAATTAAATGTATTTATTAAGTAAAAACTTAATTAAAAACTTAATTAAAAAGTTATGTTGACATCAATATGTAAAAAGTATTTTATGACTGTTTTTTAGTGAACGTTATTTGTATTCATAAAGTGAGTGAAAATAATTTTGTTTACAAATGAATTGCTGTTTTGATTGTATTTTTGATTTATTTGTGTTTTTGGCATAAATTGTGTTTTAATTGCATTTAAATTAGTGCTCAAAATGAGTGAAACTTTTGCGGATTTATCGCAATTAAGTCGCGAAGAGTTGTATTCATTAGTGAATGCATTGAAACGTCAAATCAATTGTTTGTCAACAGATTTATCGCGAAATGACTTATTGTTAAACAAATGTCACAAATGTTTAACACATTTATTGAATACAAAACAAATAGATTTGCATTTAATCCGAGAATTANATGTTGTCTCAACTGGTGGTGAATCATCTCATACTTCGTTTTATACGTTTGCAGGCATTCCTCGACCGGACACGTGAACCGACGTTCCCCTAAATGTACATTCAATTTGTGTTTATCTAAAATAGATTTTCCACTCGTTTTATAGTCACATCCCTCCCAATTGCACCGGTATTTAGAGGAATGTTTAACCGCTTTATGTTTATAGAGATTGTCTCGCGATTCATACGAAGCCTTACAACCGTCCACATCGCACCGGTAGGTCAGCCCCGAGTAGGTCAGCCCCGAGTGTATGCGTCTATGTTTATACCAATAGTCCTTTGAGGCAAAACTCTTACCGCAACCGATATAATCGCAAACATAGCGGCATTTCGATGTCTTAACGATTGTCTTGTCGTGCGATCGCTTGTGAAGTGATAACGACTTTAGTTTTGCAAAACCTTTACCGCAACCGACATAATCGCAAACATGGAGTCCCTCTGATGTCGGCAAACGGCTATCACTTTGACTGTCATTTGAATCGCTTTTCAATTCATTACTATTAATAGACTTTTCATTTGTGTTCACGTCTTGTGACACAACTGTTTGTCCATTGGTTTGTGGTTTGGGACGTCTTTTAGTGACAGAAGTGTTGCCACAACCGGACCTTCGGGTGCCGACTCTTACAGTCTGTTTGCAGTGTTTCTTAGAGTGAAGGCTAAGATAGATATTCCTCGAGAATCCCTGTCCACATCGGGTGCACTCAAATGGGTTCGTATGTCTGTACGAGTGTTGAGTCATCGCATTCACGTGTTTAGTCCTATACTGACAGCCCGTATGCGAGCACTCGATGTACGGTATGTCCGGAAAGGCTTCGGGATGTACTACCAGTTGATGTCGGGTTAGGTTTGGTTTTGATTCAAAACTGGTTTTACAGCCATTTAGTGAACACACAAACAGCCGTTCCGTTGAGTGAATGTCTCGAGGGATGCCTTCTTCACACTCATAGACATCCAGTTGTCCACCGTTTGTCTCATCAGTTGTCTCGCACTTCACCACCAAATCAGTGATTGGTTCCCATGGGTTGACGACTTCATTATCTTGTGATTTGTCGCACATTTCCTCATCACTGGAACCGTTGTTGTGATTGTCTTCCGATTTAATGACCACTTCTTGGTCTCCAATCGACTCTTCATTCTTCTGGTCATCACTTCTCTGACAACCAATTGAT